TCTAAGAGAATTAATATAAAAGATTATATTTATATATATATTTTTAAAGCTGGGACTTGAACCAAACTGTCAAACTTTTAAAGTTTAATTTACATGGTGGTTATAATTAAAGTTCCAATTTAAAATGGTCATAAAAGGAAAACTACCGGACCAAATGTTATCAAACTTGGGAATCGTATAAAGAAGGTTATGGGAATTTATTTTCCTCGGGGAAGGAAAAAAAAAAAAAAAAAGAGTTCAAATACTCACCTTCGGGGGGAAAACGGAACTGTAAGCAATATTGTTAAATGAAATAAAACATGAAAACATCGGTTTAAAATGTGTTTAATCGTTTTCGAAACGTGTTACAAAGCATGTTCAATGTAGCGTCCAGCATTTTCCGAAAGCAAGTTAAAACATGTTACGGCATTCTCAACAGCACCTCTTAGCATATCAAGAGGAATGTTATGGACATGTCAGTGTATCACATTTTTCATTTCAGCCAAATTGTTTAGATTATCACCATAAACAGTGCTTTTGAGATAACCTCATAGCCAAAAGTCACAGAGGTTGAGGTCTGGTGGGAAGAGGGGAAGTGTTGGCCTATAATACGTTCATTCGTGAAATGTTGCCTAAGTAACTGTGCGAGATACGTGAGGTGGGGCCTATCCCTGCATAAAAATCTTAGTATCTAAAATGCCACGTTACTGCAGTTCATGTATCACGAAACATATTAACATTGACTCTAATTGAGCTGCAATCACAGTGGTCCAACTGTCGACTGCTCTTCAGAAAAAAATGGTTCAGTTATAAAACTAGCTGTCATTCAACACTAAGCGGTGTGAAATGACTGCTATGCAATCGAATGCTGTAGGAGAATGCAATGGAACTAGATAGATAATATGAGGGATTTCTTTGGCCCAAATCGATTAAAAGCGTTTTGAATCAGTATCTTCATATTTTAGGGCCAAATTCAGGCTTCAAAAATTACAAATTAGCGATCTGTAACAAAACAATTTCCAGATTGTACGCACTTGTGCAAGTGATTTGCGATCTCACATTTTCTAATCGCTAATTCGTGGTTTTCATGGACGAAATTCTCACTTACACGGATGGCGCACTCAACTTTTATCGAATTTAATGCCTTTAAATGGTAATTTGCCTACTTCAAAGTTTCTTAATGGTATACAACATATTAAACCCGTGTAACAAAAGGTTAAGTTAGATTCCGACCCATATTTTGTTTAACAATATTGCTTACAGCACCATTCCTCCCTGGTGTTGAGGTTTCAAACTTCCTTTTTTTCGCAGAAAATATATTCCCATGACCTCCTTTACACGATTACCAAGTTTGATAACATTTGATCCAGTAGTTTTCCTTTTATGACAGTTTAAATGTGGAACTTTAATTATAACCACTCTGTATATTATTAAATTTTAATTTGAAGCTATGCGTTATATGTATACCATGCGTAAATTTTCCGCTTTTATGGAAAAATAGAGAATCGAAGCAAATATACTTAGGATAATGGACCAAAACTGAAAAAATTTCCCCTCCCTCCGAAAATAAAATATTGAAACTTCGACCTTGAATTTATTGGGTTATCGAAATATTTAATTTGACTTATCTTCTAAGTTTTAGTTCCGACAACAATTTCGTCAAAAATTCCGAATTACTTAAGCTGATGTAAAAGATTTAGTATATATTCACTGTATGTTAATAAAGTAATCAGAGTGTAATAAAAATAGATTATAGAATTTACGCTGATGCAACATTTTGTCTGACTGCACAACATGTAATGGAAGAGAAGGCTTGTAGAGATCTGTTTTTGACATGCATCTAAAAGTAGATGTCATACTCCTTTTGTCTCTTCAATGTCAAAAAATTTTCCTTTGAGAGGCAACTTTAATTTTTGGGAAAGAAAAAAAATCACAAGAAGACAAATTTGAAGATTGGATGATTGAGCACACATACTTATTTTTGGAACACAAGCAGTTCTCCGACTGGTTATTGAATAATGAAAAGATACATTGTCATGCAATACAAAACATTTGGAATACGTTTTCTGACTGAAAACGTAAGATTAAAAGTCATGTGCTTAATTCATAGCCATTTACAAGTTAACTACTCGGGCAATTGCAGAATCGTTTTGATCCTGAGCTTGTAAGCCAAACCTAATATCACTGGATTTAAACACTTCTTTAATCTTCCGAGAACGTTCCTTCTTTAACACATATTCCAAGAATATTAAGTGAATACAATTACTGTAAAAGAAATTGAATATTCATTTGCATTACGGCTTGGTAGTTTACTAACGAGTTAACAAAACTTAAATTCTGCTTTTTGTGTTTAAGACTACAACAATATTTTAAATATTTACAAATAAGATATTAAATTGGAGTTTTAATTGGAGCCTCACCAGTTGCCTAGCATTTGAAGATTGTTAAATACTAATTCTTTTAGCGAAGTCTAACCCAGACTGCATGGTTGGTTTTCATAGTTTTCTAGGTTTTCTTTACAAAGGTTCTCTATGAAAGCATCTTAATGAAATAGCTTTCATGTTCTTTCTCTGTTCAAATAACCAACTAACATAGTTTAAGCGCGATTTCCAAGTGAAGTTACTTGCAAAATCCGAATACTCATTAAAAATCATGTAGCTTGCCAATCGGGAGTAACATGAAAGATACGGCGCCAATAATTGAATTGCTGTTACGGTACGCTGTTTGTAAACTTAGATGGTCATTCCTTAATTAAATAGCCCACCAGCGGCCGAGCGGTAAAGACGCTGAACACTGGTATTTCGGTCCAAGGTTCAAATCCCGCAAACGGGCTGGCTGCATGTGCGTTTTCATGGTTTTCCTCATGTGTAACATGCATACGAGCCAGTTTCCCTTAGAAAGTCCTCCACGAAGGCATCCCTCCCTTTAGGCAGATAGCCCTCGTGTGCTTTGCCATAATTAAATAATCCAATCCAATCCTTAATTAAATATAATTGATTTGTAACTTCTACTAGAGCTGACGGTAAGAATTGAAGTGCAAATAAACAATACCGTGTGCAGTCTTGATTAATATAAAATTAAAAATATTTGCATTCAGGCAGAAAGTTTTTTGAAATATTTGCAATTACTTTATAAGAAGGATTTATTAATAACCGTAATAATTACTTATTATATTACTGATGATTAAGATTCAGTTCTTGACAATTACATTCTAAATTAGAATTTTAAGGATATAATGAAAATACGCTACACACAAAAATACATTTTAGGATTAAAAAATGAGTTGATTTTTTATGTTTTAAAACTTCTTAAATTCATTTAATAAACATCGTATCCTCGTTGTTAATTGAATCCAGAATGTTGGGTGTCGTTTATATAATTATTCTTACTTGTCCACAGAATCTGCTGACTTATTCAGCCATTAAGCAGCTGCAGATCATTTCTATATAACCATTGAACTTCCATTAATTCAGTCTCTAGAGGGTTGTATGTTTATATCATAATTTGACTTTTATAAAAATGATTATTCTAAATCTTATGTTTCTATAAAAATATACTGTGCATTAAAATATATATATCAGCCACTCTTTCAGTCACTTCAAAAGCAATAATTTGTTTAGAAATAAATTATGCAGTTACTGTCATAAAATTCAAATAAACATCAAACAAAAATTCTCAGTTTTAGACAATTCGATTTAAACGAAGTAAAGTAGCAGACGATAAAACGCCGAAGGTAAAAAATTTACTCTTATTTTTTTAAAAAAGGGAAGAAATTTAAAAAATAGTTAAAAATTTGAATAATACCTATAATTTAAAAAAATGGCTTTTCATATAGTATTAATAAATATTTATTATGCATCATTGAGGGAAAAATTTCATATAATTAATTCTCCATAAAATTTTACTTAAAATTTAAGGTTAAAAATAGCTGTGGCAATTCAGTGTATCAAAAATCCATAGACCACATTTGGCGTTATTATCACTCAAAAAAAGGATGCCAAATTTCAAAACGCAAAAATATGTAAATTCGTGTATATCTTAGAAAATTTTGAATAAAAAAAGTCTAATTTTTTGCAGATATGCTTAAAAATACACCTACTTTAAGATGATGGTAAAAATTTTATAGGTTGTAATTCAAAATTTTTTTCTAAAAATTTCTAAAAATTATTTAAAAATAGAAATTTAAAATTCAAACACAAAAAATGTGTAAATTTTATTTAGAATGAACCTAAATTTCGGAATGTGAAAGGAAAAATAATAAAAGTTTAATAAAAAAAAGAGGTATTAATAAACATTTACCAAATTCAATTAACATTGAGGAGCTAAAATTTTGAGAGCTAATATTTTAAAAACTACTCGTACGATTTTTACAAAACTTGGTATTCTGGCATAATTTGAGTCGTAGAATTGAAATATGAAAAAATATTGATATGTTATTTTAGAAAAAGTCCGATTTTGTGTCAAAATACCTGTGTTAGAATAGTGCTATATATAAATCTAATATATATCCTAAGTTTCGCTTTCGAGACATGAAAAACGCAGTTTGAATTTTGTCAATCGGCCCAGTAGAACGGAAGATATAGCACTGTCCCTTTTTTTTTTTTTTTTTTTTTTTTTTGAGCAGTGTACTAATGAAGTAAGAAGTGGAAAAATTAGGGTAACAGATAGTAAATATGAAAGCGACAGTCATTCCGCAGAAAAGACAAAAAATACAGAATGGATAACCTGCACAGAATCTGAAAAAATGTCGCAAAGAATACTGTCTGTATCTGGTGAAAGAGCTGCAGTACCGCAAGTATCTTCACACATAAAAGGGCCATTAAAGGTCTTTAAAATTGCGTGCGAGATCATTTTACGTTGTGCTTAAGAAATTTCCCAATCATACAAAAAATCATCTTGAGTTGCAGGTTCACTGGAGCAAAAAAGGCCGCGAGTGTAAAGGGTTGAAAGTAAATTATTTAATGTTTAAACCATATTATAAAATCTGTAGTTAAAAACCCTTTTTATTGTATGTATGTTAGGTTGTTCCAGTTTCTGCATGGCTTGTGGTCATGGTGGTCATACAAAACACTTGGAAGAATGGTTCAGAGATATGGATGTTTGCCCATCTGGATGCGGATGCAAATGTTTGGAAGCTAATGATATTTTTGGAACATGACATTTTTTTAGCTTTCTGTTTTTGTTTGTTTTAGAAAAGTGCTCATTAATAAGAAACTCAAGTGCCAAAATTTTCTAATTCCTCATTTTGAATCTCATAAATGCCTGTATTTTTCTTTTGTGGTATTACCAGTGAACATTCACTTGATGAAGCGTAGTTACAGCATGTAGGTCTACATTGAATTCAAAAAAAATTTTCATAACATGCCCCCATGTTGATTCTGAGACTTGTTTGAGGACTGTAAAAAATATTTCTGGCTATGATATCTCTAATACCATTGACCAAAAAACTCCCTAAGTCATGGAATCATAAAGTTATGTTCCATAAAATCTCACGTAGCTTTTAGGGATATAAATAAGCAGACTTGCTGAGCCACTGCAGAGTATGAAACTCGGATAAGTATAGAGTATGAAAATGTTTCTTGTGGCTGGATGGGGCAATGCATATCCTCCTTAAGCACATCATACCATGCAGGATGCATTACAACTATATATGATATAGTTGATCTGCTAGAAAGATCTTATTATTGGTAATATTATTTCCTTAATATGTTCCTGGAGAAAGCTCCCTATATAATAAGCATATAGCTACTGCTACTTTAAGATGACCTGTTAAATTGTTCTGTGATTTTCTGTTGTCTTCACTCTATCTCAATTTTGCCATCAAAGCTAAGTTGAAATTTATCTACCGAGACAATAGATACCTATTTGATGAAAATGTAAACAGAAAAGGCAGACTGTCAACCACGAGTAACCAACAGTGGCTGATTATACAGAACTTGAGGTTTTGTAGCTATAGAATGGAGTGCATTGTCATCATACCAGATATGATTTATGCAACTGCTGCTGTGTTTGTAGTCTGTACAATCCTTAACAAACTGTGTTGACTCTAGTCATCAGTGACCTATTTTTCAATGATGATATGCTATTTTAGTAAACTGCCAATAAATCCTTAATATAATTGCTTTTAAGAACCTTATGTTTGCAAACCATTTGGCTGACAAATAGCCTATCTGTTATGTATTGAATCTGCAACCATCATCAAAATCACATTTTTTTCCCATTGTCACTTTTTTTTTTTTTTTTTTTTTTTTTACATTGTTGTATACTGCATAAATTTGTCTGTGTGTAATATTAATGAAGGTGGATATGCTTGATAGAGGGAGACTAGCATTCAGTTCCCATTGCAGCCACACTTTAATAATTTGTTTAGTGAGTATATTATCAGTAAATAAACAGTAATTTATTTAAAATACTTAATTTCAGTGAAATAATGAAAATTAGAATGTTGAAATAAAATTTTAATCTGTAATAGCAAATCTAAAGTTTTAATTTCTGTTTCACGATTTTTTATTCCTATTGAATAGAAATGTATTTATTAAAACCAACTATTGCAAATGATCTCTTTCATATGTGCTATATTTCTTATTTATAAATATTTGTAACCATTGTACAAACAGAATGAAGTGCCTAAGAGCTCAATTTATTTTCATATTTAATTACTGAGCTTATGTTTATGTAAAGTGACATAAGTAAGATAAGTATATATGTTTTGTAAAATATTTTTGTAAATTATTCAAGAATTAAAAAAAAAGTTTGATTTTTTGTTATGTTGACTCATCTCTCAAATCTAAGAATTAATCTGTTTGTAATATATATTTCATAAATATTCCACTAAAGTTCTCATGTAATTTTGTTTAGTTACATCCACAGTTTAAAGGGATAATCAAAAAATATATAATGCACTTTTTAATCAAAACCCTGCAATAACTATGAGCAGTGTACCAAATCATGCATACGTATTTGTACTCTTGGTGGTAATTGCCAAGAAAAGATACTGCAGGGCACTTGTGTGCTGCTGTATTCCACCATGTTACAGCCCTTTTTCAATTAGAAATTTTATAATGATGACCTATTTCGTTTTTTTTTTTTTTTTTTAATTAAAAAAAAATTGTATAAATAAACTACAGACAGAAAAACACAACAGTATACTGGCAGAGCACACTGCCTGCTTGTAGGAAAGGATAATTTCTGTGAGAATTTTCTAAGAAAAAGTGGCCTATATTTTATGCATGAGGAAAATCATGAAATCTTAATGCAACTAGTTTATTCAGCTACTGAAAACAAAATCCTATGTAATTATTGGTATGTCACAGCTTTAGCTACTCTTTTAGTGCTAGGCAATGATTTTCAAGAAAATTCGTATATCATTTGTAGCATCTAATAAGCCATATTATAGAGATCTACTAAAATCTTTTCCCCAAAAAAATTCAAGATTTTTTATGCCTTTGTTAACTATAAAAACTGTGAGGTGACAGAAGTGCTATAATGGGATGCCTCCATATAAGGACTGGTAGCTGACTGATTTGTGCGTTTTCGTTAGGCTGCTTATTACTTACTGCCTGTAAAACTAAAAACACATTTATTATACATCTACGAGAAGCTCTATTAACAATATAACAATGACAATTGATAATTAGTATTAAATGCATAAGTAAGATAAGTATTTTCCTCGTTATGTGAGGATCTTGCTAGCGCCAGGACTCTCTAGTCCAGAATTTTCTATACAGTTGCTCCCAAAAGTGTTCGTACACTTTTTGCACACATGATTTTCATAGAAATAGGGCTCTATCCATTAATTAAAAGTAAACTTTCTGAATGAGATTTTTATAATAAGATCTATAATCTGTTCGTAAAAAAATAACATATAATATTTTTTAAATATAGCGAAACTATTTTTAAGAAATTAATAATAAAAAAATGACAAACATTTTATCTCACAAAAGTCTTCGTACACTTAAAAAAAATCATGATATATTAGTAAATATTTTCCTTTTTTCTTAAATTAATATTTAGTAGGATATCCTTTAACATCATCAACAGCTTTTAAACGTATGGGAATATATTTTAATAGTTTTTTTCTAATTTCTGTATCAATGTTCATCCATTCTTCCATCATGACTGTTTTGAATTCGTTTTTCGTTTTGATGACATGTTTTCATATTTTAACCTCCAGTTCTTTCCAAATGTGTTCTATGGGGTTTAAATCTGGCGACTGAGGTGGTGTTTTAAAAACCTGTGGACAATTATAGAGACACCACAGAGGAACATTGGGAGCCGTATGCTTAGGATCGTTATCATGATTAAAAATAAAGGTGTTTCCAATATCCAAATTTTGGGCTGATAATTTTAAATTGTCTCTTAAAATATTTAAATAAAGAGAATGATTCATTATGCCATCAATAAATACCAAATTACCTAGTCCTGATGCTGCCATGCACCCCACACAAGAACACTTCCACCGCCATGCATAACTGTTCTAACTAAGTTTCTTAGAATGAAAAGTTCCTCATTTTTCTTCTCCATACGGCCCTCCACGAAGGCAACCCTTCTCTTAGGCAGATAACTTTCATGCGCTTTGTTATAATCAAGTAAACCAAACCAAATTAAAGAAACTTATTCGTTCTACTTTCTGAATTGCGCTCCAAGTAAATCATATATAGGAGCTTTTCGTATTCATAACCTAAAACGTATCAAAACAGAAAATTAAATAAATTTAATTGCTTAACTTGGTTATCCAGAACTGCAATTTTTAATTTATCACTAGTTTCCAAAAATCTGAGCATGAATAATCGTGTAATAAAGCATAGACCAATAACTTTGAAATTCAGAGAATAACTTGGTTGACCTTCAACCACCAGCAGCCGAGAGGTAAAAATCGTTGAATATTGGTAGTTCGACTGGCGTTCAAACCATGGCGGATGTGCTGCTTACCAGGAAATTTTCGTGGTTTTCTCCATGTGTAACATAAATACGAGTCAGTTTCTATCAGACGTATGAAATAATTTTTGTATCAACTCCCCGCTATAAACAGTCCTCCATGAAGGCATCCATATCCCCGTTCGGCAGATAATCTTATGGTACTTTGCCATAACCTAAATAATCTGATTTGATGATCATGCTAATCTACTCTCATACTGAAGCCTGTGATGCTTTAATTAATGTTTTATTTATCATAAACTGTGTTAACTGCTTTAAATTAACCAAATCAGGATTTTTTCTGTTAGATTTCCTTTTTTAAATTTCTGACATCTTTTTAGAAGCCTAAATATGACAGATAGTTTTAGTAAGATGTATTTTTTGTAACTGTTTTACATATAAGTACAGAGAATCTCATGACGGCGAACTCTAATAAAAATTTTTCCTACAACATAAATAAGCAGGCTTTTGTACATTTGCCTCTCTAATGCAACCATCTATATAAGTGGCCTACCATAAGTGGCCTAAATTGCCGTTAGTTGTCGCATTAGAAAAGTGTCATTATATTTGCATTTTTGTGGCATTTAATAATTTCAGTTACATGTCTGCCTTATAAGTTATGATATTGATTTTTCAAGGTCGTGTAACAATTTTCAATATTAATTAGAATAGTAATAATCTTTTACATTCCTTTCGGATTATTGTATTCGTATTAAAGCCTTGAATCAATTGTTGATCATTATTTTTTACGTATGCTATTGCAAAAATTTTTAAATTCTTAACTATGATAATTTCCAATATTCGGGCTTTAAATGCCTAAGTTATTTAATTTTAGGCCTAGATTTAAACATTGTGCATTTACAATGAGAAGATCTTAATTATGGAACTTTTTAACAGCTGAAGCTGATTAAAACTGGTTGAAAAACCATTCTCGGGCTGATTTATTTTGTGCTTAATTTATAGCAGTTTCCCTATGTAACCAAATTTTAGATTTATATAATTTTTTTTAATTGTGAAAAAAAAAAAAAAAAAAAGAGAAAATTTTTCTTTTTCACGTTATAATTATTTTCTGTTCATCTTTTATCATAATTAGTGTATTTTTCAATTTTCCTCAACTGTCAAATCTTGTTGTGTTTCTAAATATCTTTAGATTATTTACAGTCCCCGCAATTTTAGAGTTTTTATGTTAAACTCTAAAATAGTTATTAGAAGAATTATTAGAAGTGTTTGATGTAATTAATCACGCACGTCGCCCATTGATTCGTAAATTTTGAATTTTCAAAATTGTTGCAAGCACTTGAGCAGAAAATTCGTCTTTCCCAGCAAATTGCAAATTTTAAAATTCAAAAAATTCAACTCCATCATTCCAATTTTCAGACTCAATTAAAGGCACTGAAGTTATTTAACATTTAAGAACTCTCTGTGATTTAGAACTCCCCGGAATTGATACTCAAGAAATGATTTCAAAAATGCTCTTCTATATCTACGAGGGTTGGAACTTTAATAGTGGCAACTATTTATTTACAAGGAATACAAAAGTGATTCATGTCACCATGTTTTTTACAGTCCTTCAATATAGTCGCCAGCATTGTGTACAACAGGTTTCCAACGATGTGGAAGTCGCAGAATACCTGTAGCAGCACCTGTTTTGTTGATAGTTTGAATGGACCGGTCTACTGCCGCAAGAATCTCAGGAACAGTTTGGAAGCGAGTGCCACGAAGTGGTTCCTTCATCTTAGGAATTAAGTCATAGTTAAAAGGGCTTAGGTCTGGGAAGTATGGTGGATGGTATAGCACTTCCCAACCCCATCACTTGAACAAATCAGTCACAGCTTGCGCTGCATGCGGCCGAGCATTGTCATGCAAAATGAGAGGAGAGCTCTGCAGAAAATGTCGCCGTTTTTTTCTCAAAGCTGGTCGGAGATTGTGCTCTAAAAATGAGCAGTAATACTGCACAGTGACGGTCTGCTGTGGGGGAACGGTATGCGTTAGGATGACACCATCACAGTCGTACACGAGAATCTCCATAACTTTCACATTGCTGGGGTTCTGACGAAATTTCGAACGTCGTGGTGACCCGTGATGACGCCATTCGTTTGATTAGCGTTTCAATTCTGGCTGGTACGATCGGGCCCAAGTCTCATCCAACGTAATGATACGGCGTAAAAAAGCATCTCCTTCGCGCTCATAGCGCTAAAGGTGGATTCGGCAGCATCGTATCGTAGCCATTTCTGCATTTCCGTCAATTGATGTGGAACCCATCGTGAAGCAATTTTTCTCATGGACAGGCGTTCGTTCAGAATGTGCAGCACAGTCTTAGCGCTAATCCTGTTTGTCCGGCCAGCTGACGAATCGTTTGGCGGCGATCACTGTTCATTAAAGCGGCAACAGCTTGCATGTCTGCATCGCTGACATTAGGACGACCTGGCCGCAGCATGTCTGCCACGTTTTGGCGTCCTTCATTGAATGCTTTCACCCATCTTGCTACGATTTTGTAAGGCAATGCAGATTCTCCGCAAGCCTCTTGAAGCCCTTGATGACACTGTCGTGCTGTACGACCTCTGGCACTTTCAATTTTTATCCAACAACATTGTTCTTGTTTTGAAAACATCCTGACAACACATACTTTAGACCGTGAGCTAATACAAGGATCCGTTCTTCGCGTCACTCTGCATGCGCGTGACATACGCAGGACGAGTCTTTTTGCTGAGAGGTAAGGTAGGTATGTAATTTACGTGTGGTATACGCGATATTCTTTAATTTTGTTGCGTAGCATTTTTTCAGCTGTGTTGCCACTATTAAAGTTCCAACCCTCGTATTATTAATTGTTCTATCCTTTGCATAGCTAGCT